TTAGGCCCTGAAGGACGGTGACTTCCATCTCGTCAGTCCTCTCCCTCGGGCTTTTCCTGCTTGTTCCTTCTGATGGAGTGGCTGCCATGTCCCGAGCCGCCCCATGGAGAGGCCCCTGTGGCTGGGAACTGAGGGCGGCCTCTAGGCAGCAGCCTTTGAGAAACTGAGGCCTTGAGTCCAGCAGCCGACGGGGAGCTGAATCCAGCCAGCAGCCGCTGAGCAAGCCTGGCCCACACTGAGACCTGAGACATTGCAGCAGGGTCCACACCATGAGCAGGCCCGTGAGACCCAGCGCCAGGCGCATCCGGCTGAGCCACATTCCGATTCCAGCCTCAGGAAAACTGGGAGATGACAAGGGTTGTTTTAAACCATGAAACGTGGGGGTTATTTGTTATGGTAACACAGAGGCCAGTTGGGCGTCTTTCTGGTTTCACTGCTCCCTCGACACTGCCCACTCAGCCAGTGCCCTGGTGCCCAGGAGACCCACACATGGGACTGCTGTGAGGACCCAGCTACCCAGAGGGCCCTTTCTCTCCTGCGGGCACCCCTAGGTGCTAGGCCGACTCCTGAACGCCAGTGATGGACACAGTCCAGGGGGCATCTGCTGCACCCCGGGGACAGTCTGACTGTACTAAGGACAGTATGCTGGCATCTGAGGGTCAGGCCCTCCTACTGGACCACGCCGGGCCCCTCCCCCATAGTTTATCCCCACCTCCCCTCCTGTGAGAGCTCCTGTGAGCCCCCTGTACTTACACCAGCCTCGACACCAACCCTGCGAAGTAGCTGTAAGTGCCTGCAGTGCCATATCCCGCTCGGGCCTTTGTGAGTTTGTACCCAGGTATCGAGGGAATTCTTCAACTGCAATAAGACAAGTCCTTGGGGATGGGCCAATTTTGCTAAGAGCTGCATGCATGTATTATTTCCCTTTTTTTCCGAATAAAAATACTTTGTCAAGTTTTAAGATGTTAAAAAAAAAAAAAAAATCAAACCCATGAGCACAGCCTGTGACTTCTTTGTACCCTCTCGGGATAGCCACACTCTCCTCAGAGCTGTACCATCTTTCAAACATTAGCCCACTGCCCTGCTTCCCGATTTCATTGTTATTCTAATCAGCATCTCTCCTAAGGAGGCGGAGTTTTGTGTCACACGTTCATCACGGATATTTTTTCTTATTTGAACTTCTGGTTCACGTTCTTTGCCCCTTTCTTATCTACAGAGAATTTAATCTTTTTATTTTTTATTTTTTATAAACTGACTTTTCTGAGCTCGACGAGAGGCAACATTTTGGCTCCAGGACCTTCACCGGCTGGCATCAGGCCTGTGGTTACGATAGGTCAGAGGCAAAATGGATTTTGCAGATGTAATGAAAATTACTAATGAGCTGATCTTAAGTGCTGTAAGGAGATGATCCTGGATTCTCCGAGGTGCTCAGTGTAATTGCATGAGCCCTTGGAAGCAAAGAGATGTGGCCGCTGGGAAAGCCAGAGAGACGAGGCATCCGGTGGTATTTTGGAGCATCTCATTTGGAGCATGAGAAGGACCCAGTGCGCTGCTGCTGGCTTTGATGATGGAGGGGGCCACGGGCGGAGAAATGTAGTGGTCTCTAGAGCTGAGGATGTCCCCTGGCCAACGCTCAGCAGTGGGGACCTCAGTCTTAGCCCTGCTGTAGTGAATCCTGCCAGCTGCCTGCTTGACCCGGCTCCAGGCGCTGACACCTTGACTCAGGCCTCTTGAGGCCCTGAGAGGAGCACCTGGCAGCTGCTCTGGACTTCTGACCCCTGGGACTTTGAGATAATAAATGGGAGTCTTTCTAAGCCAGGTCTGTGGTGACGTCAGGGCAGGAATAGAAAACAAGCTCTTTCTATGTCTTGCAATATCAAGCTCTTTCTATATCAAGCTCTTTCTATGTCTTTCTAAAGGCTGCAAACGCTCTTATATATGTTGTGACCATTTCTTCAAGTGTGTCGCTTGTCTCTTAAACTCCACCCCGAATTGCACGTAGTCCTCCAAATTCCATGATCAGCGTTCCATTTCGGGAGGTGTCCTTTGCGGTCACCCCCACATACCCAACACACATGCAAAACAGATTCCTAGGCCCTGCCCCCAGAGCGGCGGATTCAGCAGGTCTGGGAGGGCCCAGGAATTTGCATTTCTAACGACGCCCGGGCCCCGCTGACGCTGCACGGCCAGGGCCCCCCGGGGAGCCCGCATTTTCCCCCGCCCCGCCCCGGGCGCTAGAGGGTCCCCAGGGCCCCTCCCAGGTGGAAGGAAGCGGAGCCCGGCTCTTTGAGGGGCGGGGCTTCCAGGGGCCACGCCCACGCGCGAGCGAGCTCCGTCCTCATTGGCCGGTAGCGAAGGACGCTCCCTACGTCACAGTGCGGTTCGGGCTCC